ACGTTATGCACATAGCATGTGTTTCGACTTGCGTACATTGTTTCGACTTGCGTACATTATTTACCTAAGAATGTCCTCAGGAACGGAACCCATTCGTAACCTGGGGACCCCCTGTACAGTGTAAAAACCATGGATACCCGGTATCCATGGGTAGGAAATCTGCGGTTCGTGAGGATCTACTGTATGACTCACGTGTTGTCATGGAATGTGACCACCTGCCTCATAATGGACAAGTACCTTATGCTCTGTGCGTCTCATGTGTCAGTGACGGTCAGTTCACTGGTCTACATTTCAGTTGTTTTTCCATCATTGTTCAGTATTTGAGCCATTATGTCTGATAACCCTGGACCAAGCACCTAAATCTGGAACTGTACTAAGGAACGTTTAAATTTTGACTGGGGCAGATAACAAAAAAATTTAGTTTCCCCCCTTCCTCTTTTGGGAGGTGTGCCTCATATGTTGTAATTCCTAAGGGCTAGAGCCTCTTTTTATTTTGAATTATGCGGGGGTTTATTGTAACGTGCATCTGGTGTAAAACATGAAACATTCTGTCAGCCATCCAGTAATTTATTACATGGAAAAAGAAGATAATTTTGTTCTGATGTTGATTCATCTGTTGGTAGTGCTTAGTGACTTGGATTAATACTTCACAGTATATGTATACTACATGTACAGGTATTTATACTATATGTGAAATTAAATTCAATAAATTAGGCTATCGTAAACTGTACATGATTCATTATCTTGGTTGGAAAATTTCAGGTCGACTTGAAGTTTTGTTTAAGAAGGTGTAATGGACCTGATGGGTGTTTATGGGATATCTGCCTAAGATCAGTTGGGTAACAACATTTTTACAAGCAGTTTGAAGACAATGGAAATCATGCATAAATATGTACAGTACAACACCACCTGGGGCTTTGTTAGATATATCAAGTGTAATATCCTTGGTGAGTAAAAAAAAAAAAGCATAATTAAGGCCTCATGATTAAGTCAGTTATATGTGTCTGGATGAGTACTATCCTGTATTAGTGAAATATTGTGTAAATACAGTTTATGGATTTTTATAAACTGGCAGGGTATTACAGTACTGCATATTTTAGTGCCAGTTGAACTAAATAGATCAGTCTCACCAGTGTGACTCAAATACCAACTTTCTTTTGTGAATGTTAAGTATTATGTGCGAATGATGCCCTTTCTTTCTCTTTAGGTGTATACACTACAGTACTGTGGTGCATGTGTAAATCCACAAATGGATGTGTATGTAATTTGACTGCATGAATTTTGACAGTGCATCTGGTGTTTGATTTCTTAATTATGGTTTGGCTAGCATTGGCTGTTGATAATAGATTCTAATGCATGTAGTGAAACTAATGCGACATTAGCTGTAGCTGGCCCTTTAAATTTGTATTATTATCTGATCTTGTAACCTTTTTTATTTTCTTTCTTGTTTCTGATGAAGTGTTTAATTATGTATTATTTATCTTGTTTCAATTCCTATTGTGGTTTGGTTTGGTTATTTATTCTGTATGGTACTGTACTTAAATTTGTTTTCCCAACTTTTCATCTGGCATTGGTTTAAAAATTCTAAGCTGGGGGTGTACATGAAAATTCAAGTGCACGATTCTCAACCACTTTACCATGGAATGAGCAAGAATCTTCAGTGATGTGTAATGTAAAACCATAATAAGGATCAGAGCCAGACCACTTGCATGGTGTGCATGTCAAGTTTATTTGTGTCAGATCATATCAAGGAAAAATTAGTAGATACATCATGAGTGACATTTGAGAGAACCAGGAAGTTAGATTACAGGAATCCCACTTTAACATGTGGTGTAACTCCTCAATTCGGGTTTTGGCCTCGGTTTAGGTCAAGAATTTGAGCGGAGAAAGGCAAGTGTTTTGGCTGGAAAGACATTGGTTTGAATTTCCTTTCTTCACCCTGTCTTAATATTCATTATTTATTAAACTGCAAATCTTCAGTGATATGGAATTACACTTCATGTAGCAAGAAGTTTAACATCTTAAAGAAAATGCTGCTGATGCTTCAGCAGTGCATGGATTACTGTAATCTTCTGTGGACTCTGGGATTTTCTGGTGCAGGGTTAAAGAATCTTTGTTCACTGTGTATAAATGGTTTAACCTTGGCTTTTATTTGCATTGAATTGTATAGCTTATGTTTACAAGAACTTTGTAGCTTTTATTTGCAAATTTGCAGGTTTTAAATTATAACATTATTTTTCACCTAATACATGAAATAAGCTTAGCACTAGCTGCCATTCAGATTTTGTTTGCTGTTTTGCCATTTTTTAAAATTAAGTAGTAATTTATTTTAAGCTTCATACATATATACACACACACAGTATATATATACCGGTATATACATACATATATATATATATATATATATTTTTTTTTCCTTTAATTAAATTTTGTTTTTAAATTTCATGTATGGCTTAGTAAAAAGGCTTGGCTGCTACTTATTCATGTGACATTATGTAGATAAGTCTTTTATCAATCTGCCAATGAAGGTAAAGGTTGTCAACATTAAATATTAAATTTTTATAGTTTTTTATTAATAGATATTCTAAAATTTTAAAGTTATTGCCACCTATCCTTTCTTTTTTCAATATATACATAGTAGTGATGAAAGTAGCCCTGGAGGTTAATATAAAACATTGGAAGTGGCACATAGTGAGCTGTTCTTTGCAATATAAAGCTCTGCAATAGTGAGCTCTTTGCAACAACCTTTGCCCAGCACTTGCCTGACTAACCCTTGGCCCGGTCTGCTACAGCCTCGCGTGCCGAGAGTAAAGCCCACATCCAAGACCCAGAGCGGAACGAAACTGATAATGGCACAGCCAACGATGCCATCAAGGGCTCCACAGACCAGGTCAACGGCAAGACTGACAGCACAGTGGCCAATGGCAATGGAAACTTGGAACAGACTCAAGTGGATGAGATCACCAATGAGAAAAAGAACACGGATGTGTGAACAGGAATTTAAATCTGACCAGAGTTGAAGAGATGACTTCTTTATTCCATCTGAAAAGAATTAGTACACTGATTCTTGATAGTTGAGGGCTTTGAATCATTCAGGAAGTTAGTGATAGCACAGGCTCCAAATCAGTTTTGTGTGTGAAAGTTTACATGTGTATGCTTGTACAGTATGTATAAGTGTGAGTGTATGAGTGTATATTTTTTTGAGGAAATGTGAATCTCTTGGTGGTCTCCCAGTTGTATGTCTCTGGTTGGTATTACTCCCAAATCACCTTAACTTACTGGTGTACAGCAGTGATTTTATGCATTCCTCTTTGGTTCACTTCATTAGTTGTAACTCAGGTGATATAGCCTTATTGACTTACATAGAATTGTTGCTCTACAACTTTTGGTTATCGTGCCTTAAACAGGGTGTAAATCTTCTAGGGACAAAATGATAAAAGCTGCTGAGGTTGGTCACCAATTGGTGTGTGGGTGTGTGTCTGTATATGTGAAGGATGTGTTATATTTATACACTGAGTTGAGATGTGTCCACTATCACTGGTTAGCCTAAGACCTTTAATGTTGCCAGTCCTCATTGCTGAATAGGTGTGCTGTTTCAATCATTCCATTTTAGATATCACAGGTCACATATAGCTTTACTTGTTTCATCAAATGATTTAAGGCCTTGTGACATTGTGTCAGGACTCTAGACATTGTTTCATGGCTCATAACATTGTTTCAGGGTTCTCAAGACACTGTATTAAGTCTCCTGGCATTGTTGCAAGTCTTGGGACATAGTTTGTTAGCCTCATGACTTTCTGAAAGGCTTTGTAACCTTGTTCCAAACTTCTTGTGACATTTTTGCTGGCCTCAACAGTTTTGCAGGCCTTGCAACATCGTTGCAGGCCTTGTGACACTGTTGCAAGTCTCCTGACAGTGTTGCAGGCCTCTCTCAGCTCAACCAATGATGTACAGTCTTACATGATTAATGATTTGTTCAGAGAGAAGCCCTAAGAGCTTTCTATAGTATGGTGTTCACAAGGCATCGTGTGGGAAGGTTGACAGCAAGGTATCTTGGGCACTGGCTTGACTTCTGGGATATGTGCCTCTTCCTACAAAATTTTAGCCAGCCTGTGTTGTCCCCCTGCTGTCCCCTGCCTCGGCTGTATTGTCTGCCCATATATTTAGACAAGGATGGCCTAGTCCTTCATCCTCGTGTCACGATATGGCAGGATTATGTCATGTCACTTTTTATCGAGATATAATGAATTAATTATAATAGAAATATCGCATTGGTCACAGTTTTTTATTGTAAATAACTTTGTCCATTTGTATCTTATGAAATTACAAAAATACTCAATGCAAAATGTATTGGAAAGTACATTGTAATAAAAAAATTATTGACTATTAGCAGTAGCAGAACTTACTTCCTTCTTGCTGATAAACTCGTCACTAAAACAATGGTTTGCTTTTGGGTCTTGAGAATTTGACAGCAGTCATAAGCACAGTTTCCCTTGGTGATTATATTGTACTGTATATGTAATTCAACCACAAGTTACTGCCTTCAAGAATAAAATATATGAATTGTGGGTTTAAGTGTAGATTCAAATCTCTGTACAATATGCTGAGTGTGATCATTGTTGTGATCGTTTAAAACCAGATTCATATTACTGTATTCAATGTTTTTACCCATGTAATTTTAAGTAGACCTATAAGAATTTTAATAAATGTTAAATGGATTAATTATTTTTTTCTTGTCAAATCCTCTCATGATGTATCTACTACTTAATTTACAAAAGAAGGGATACTCCTGTGTTGTGCATGAGTGCTTGATTTCATATCATACCTAATTCTATGAATGAAATAAAAACAAATCTATGTAAGAACAAATGTTTAATTATTATATGACCTGTATTTATTTTGTTATGGATAGTTGAAATCAGATTTATGAAATATGACTTGATATTGGTGAAAAGGAAATATTAGTACTTATAAAAGTCACCATCTTGCATCCTGCTCAGCTCGAGTCGCTTCACCGGATCCAGAGGAGGGTAAAGACACCAAGGAGGAACAGTGAGTACTTGAAAATCTTTGTTTTTCCTTACTTAATAAAGGAAAGTAGGGATAATGAATGCCTGCCAGTCAGTATTTCTTTAAATTGTAGGTTTTGCCAGGTACAGTGAGAGAATGAAGTTTCTTTCTGGGGTTTTGATGAATGCATCGCAGAACGGTTGAGTCATTCGTCACACGCATGTGTGGAGTCCATAAACAGTTGGCAGGCCTGTGGAACCTTGGAAAGGGGTTGCCAGTGACACCATTCACTGTGTTGGGAAGATACTTCATTCTCTCACTTTACATCATCATGCACAGGTTTCTTATGTTCTGTTTTTTGTCAAACCCTAGTACAGTACCCCTCTTTTATCGTCTTGAAACAATTACACTGTAACAAAAATGCTTCTGTGTTGTAAGGATTTGTGTGTCTGCCTGTGGACATAAAACTTGCAAGTATCATAAGTTCCTGCCTATGACACTGGGTAGGAAAGATCTAGGTAACCTCAACTGAAATTGCACCAGCATTTTGCGAGCTTTTATGACCTTCTTGGGGTGACCAGAACGTTGGAATGCATCCACCTTCATCCATCTTCATATCACTGCTCCTCCTACTTTCCACAAATGTATCCATTTCTCTTCCTACCTTTTTACAAGCATTTCCAATGCTTTAAATTCACATATTTTTATTTTGTTCAAGCTACAATAGATCAGCTTAGTAACCTCTCTCTAAAAATTTTGACTTGCAATATTTGTACTGTATTGTCATCTATCTTGGCAATGTAAACAATACTACAGGTAAAACAATTTTTTCAATTTAAAAAGCAGTTTATAGTATTGTACTGTTTTTTATTCCACCATTCCAGTACTGTGCAGGGTATTGTTAATTCAATAAGCTCTGCAAATACCACATCATTTCATTTCACTTCCAGTTATACACGCACCATCCTGTTGAAAAGAATCACAGAAATTTTCACGCCTTTTATTGAATGACTCCTTATTTTCAGAGGCAAAGGGTTTTGAATCCAGGAAAACCCTGGCCAACAACAGCCCTAGGGCTGGAGGCTGGGGAATCATAGTTATCACGCAACTCTTGCACAACTTAAGTTGGTAATCTCTCCTAACTTTCAAAGATTGTAATCCATCTTCGTGTGAAGTGGACACTGGTCAGATGTAGTCCTCATCCACTATTGCCTCTTCAGTCTTCAAGATTAAATCCAGAATGTTGTTTCCTCTTCGGTTTCTGATACATGTTGCATAAGGAATGAGTCTTGAATGAGGTCAATGAATTCTTCTCCCTTAGCTTGTATGGTAAGATTCACCCAGTCAAGTGAATGCTGTCTGGATGACTCTCCAAAGATCTGCCACTTCCCCGTCTGATACAGAGTCAGCTTCTGTTTTGTGCTATTATTTCACACCAAGTAGACTCAGATAATCCCATTTCATTTAACTTGTCATTACTCGTTGCTGTCAGGTGTTCCCTGAACCTACAGTAGTACCCGGGTAAATAAATTTTAGATCGTGACTGTACTGTGCATTTATTAAGTCTTTCCACATTTGTGATGTGCAACTCAACAAAATCAACCACATTTCTCAGCATCTATCTAACTTTTTGTTCATGGGTGTTTCCCTCCTTCCTCTGCAGCAGTTTTCTTATGAGGTTGTCTTTGCAGTCATTCATTTCTAATTGTTCTTTCATCTCGTCCTGAAGATTTTGTGTTACGATAGCTTTAACTATCACATGATCAGTCTGAGCTGCTGTTGGTGTTGAAGGTCATGATCTCTTGTAAGTTTTTATATTCTTTCTGCATTGATTGATGAAATTCTTTTATTTGTTGCATTAGTTTATCTTGTTCTTTATCTAATTTATATATCTTGGTTTCATGAATATTTACACTCATAATTAACTCCCAAATTTGTTTAACACATTCTTTGCAAAGAAACATGGCATGCTCATTGTGTACAGTCAACAAAGAAATAATCATGCCACTTTCTGTACTTTTCATTCTGGAGCACAGGATGAAATGTTTAGAAAACCTGAGTATGCCAACTCTAACACATACCATTAGTGGCTGAGGTCTTTGTTCATTTCTAGTTGTAATGGACTCCAGGGGCACGATAATTTTTGTTGTTGACTATACAGTAAGTCCTCGCTTAATGTCGGGGTAACGTTTCTGAAAACGCAGTGTTATGTGAAACAATGTGAAGCGGATCAATTTTCCCAATAAGAAATAGATAAAATACGGGAGTTACGTTCCTGAGCCTCCCTTTGTCCCATGAAATACATTACATATACAGAAAATCATTGCTATTTCTATAGAAAACAGTGCATGCATATACAACTACTAAGTTGGTATTGGGACTCACCAATGGGCGGAGGTGGTAGAGCGAGTGTGTGGTGGGTACTGAAGCGGTGGAGGCGGATGGCAGGAGGGGAGGAGTAAGGCGGGAGCCAGGAGGGTGGCAATTCACTGAGACCCGGCGGGTAGCTCCTCCTCCCTCTCAAAACGGTTTAAAACCTCCATTTTCGTAGCAAGGCTAATGGTCTTACATTGCTTCTTCACAACACTATTATCAGTAGCACTTGATGGGTGCTTGAAAGCCATTTCAAATGGCTACAATACAGTATTAAGAGCAAAAACACTGAAACACTGACGAACACTGTGGAAGCCTAACATAAGACTGATGTCGCTTGGGGGACACCGTAACATTCTGCGGCCAGATGAGAAAGGGTGATGCACCATAAAAAGTAGTCCATGACGATGCAAAACAACGACGTACCGAGTCAGTGTGACCTTAAGCGAATTTTTGGTTTCTAAAGTTTAGCGACGTAGTACCTAAAAAAACATTAAGCGAGGACTTACTGTACTTCAGCTGCATTTAAGTCCTTTATATAGATCTTCAGACAGCTTTAAGTATCCCATGTGGTAATCTTTCTTAAGAGTCGACATGTAAGGACCCAGGCTTTGTTACATGAAACCTCATGGCAGGAACCACAGGTGGCTCGAGTCATTCAGTTTGTGTTGCTTGAACTATCTTATGCTAATACAGTACATTCTAAATGTGGCAATGTTAATCAATGATTGCTTCAGCTTATTTGATGCCTGTGTTCGTGTTACCTGAATCACTAGGCTTTCTGGGGAGAGGGGAAAATATCTTCACTGAATAATGATTCTTATTTAGCTATGGGGTATTAATACTCTTAGCCCTATATGGATATCAGTTTCTTCACGTGCTATTGATTGCTTAGTGCAAAATTTTAGCAGGTTCTTCCATAAGGCGTCTCAATTAATGGAGTCATAGGCTTTAATCTGGTCAATGAGAGCCATGTATGGGGTCTTGTTTCTATTCTTGGTACATGTGATGAGTGTTTGAACCCACAAGGACCTGGGAGGTTCTTTTTGCCAAGGGTGGAATCATTTGAGCAAAATCCTTATGAAAATTATTTCCAGTGATTAAGAGGTCAGTGTCTCATTAGTTTTCACAGGTGGAGTTTATCTCCCTTCTTAATGATGGTGATGACCATTGTGTGTCTCAATTCAACAGGTATTTCCAGAAGCAATGGAGCAGTGTGTGATGCTTGCAAGTTAGGTTTGCCCCCCTAGCTTGTAGATATTCACTGGAATGATTCCTTTGTAAGAGCAGGATTATTTGCTTCCTAGATATACATGATGACAGATTTGACTGTTGAATATTGGTAGTTCCACAAGGGTTTGAATTAACACTTGGGATCATACACTCATAAGTGGCACTTTTTATTTAATGTCAATGAAACTTTTGCTTTGCAATCAGACACGCATGTATGGCATTTTTTCATTTTCTATAAAAAGTTTCTGGGCGAATTACTTAAAATTTTAAAGCCACCTTTGTCACGCCATTCTCTTGCGTGGAACCAAAGTTTAAGGCTAGTTGGCAACCTGTCTATATGCTGTAGACCACATGGTACCAGAGAACAAATGCCAGTATTGCTTCTGTCTAAGTAAGCAGTGAGTGTGTCGGTCCCAAGTGCGACTTAAAAATGGACACCGTGGCATTTCGGTGCTACTTTACGATATTTATCTCTTATGAAGTGTTTAAGTGATGTGTATTGAAATATTTATAATGAAATACTGTAGTGAAATATTTCTGAATTTATGAGATGTTGGTGAAATGGCTACTCACAATACAGTCGCATTTATCACACAAAACCATGTCGTAATATATAGGTCTAGCATGGAAAAATAATAAATGATAGTGAATTCTAGTGCAGTAGAGGCATGTATATGGGTATGGTGAATTATAATTAATATATTGTGCTTATTTGATATGTATTCGTAATGCCATAGCCATTGTCGTGTATATGCTAAGGCCTACCTCGTCTGAGTGGTACCGGTAAGTGGAAATATTATTGCCAAAATTTCAGTTATTGTCACAAACTTCTAACTCAAAATACCCAACTTTTGGCTATGTTTCCCCACCAGTCCACTTTATAGCAGGTTATGTACACTGAAACTCCAGTGAACATTGCTATATGTGAATATTAAAGAGCAGGGCTGTGGAGTCGAAGACAAAACCTTCGACTCCGACTCCTCAAATTTTTATGCTTCCGACTCCGACTCCTTGGCCTATTTGTAACAACTATTTCTACCATCCTAATTGTAATTTGTATGTTGTAACCTGCATAGGTAAAAAGTAAAACACCGTGGCTATACTGCTTTATTAATGATCTGGACGATATTTAAGAACTACAAAAAGATGATAGGCTTGACTTTCAAAGTTTCAATCAAAAGAAAAATAAATTTATTAAGAATTTAAGATATTAACTAGAAAACACCATTTACATATATATCTAAAAGTTCGATCTCAGCATATGAATTTTGTTTAAGCTCATAATCTGATGTGGATCTAAATGATGATCCTACAATTCCTTTTAAAGTAAAGTTATATATTTATGTACATTAAAGAAATGAATACCTTATTAAGGAAAATGGATAAACCTTACATGATTAAGTTATTAAATTAAATTTGCCTTAATCTCACCAAAA